ATTCATTAGCATGGGTACCAGGCCATGATGATATTTGCACTATGTTGGCAAGACCCTGATTCCCACTGGTTAACATAAGTCACAGCACAGAATGAATATGTATCACAGGCTGCATCTGTTAGGTCACAGACACATCTTTCATCATGGTCCATGTGGCCATGGGCTGGTGCCCCCCGCATGTGTTAAGGGGAAGCACATGTTTGTTTGATTCATTAAATGGAGGACTGACTCTGTGACAGATGTCAGCGTGAATGCAGTAGACATTAAGATATAATTCCATTTAAAGCACTGCAAGTGATTAGTTCATTGTAAAGCCGAAGGAAATAGACAATGGTACCTCAATGGTAATACACAAGGCAAAACACAGTGGAAACTGACTAAACTAGAAATTCGTAGACTTGGCAAGAAATGTTGAAATCATAAAACAATACTCAAAATACTCACAATTTCTCTGAGCTTCCCACTGCCAATAAGAACACCCCCAGTTTTTTTTTCTCCAGTATTGACAGATTACTATCACCTTAGAGGGTTCTTATGTTCATCTGATGCTCAGTGTCAGGATGTAATGGATCCTGATTCCACAGGATCCTTGTTTAGTAGCTGTGACATAGGAACATGCAGTGCTTTGCTATTCTGCTTTTTGTTGCTTTAAGTCATTACACATTGAAGTACCAATTAATATTGCACAATTATTCCAACCCCTTGCTGTGGAAAACCTAAATACTTTTAGGCACACACATTTACCTTAATAAGCCACACAATAAATTAAAAAATCACTTTTCAGCAGACACAAAATGATACAAAGCTCAAGGTCAAAACTAAATTGGCTTAAGCACAAGTGAATGGCCTTTAGTGTCAAAGTCAAAGTCCTGACGTGAATATTATTGAGAATCTGTGAAGAAACCCAAAAGCTGCTGTCATATGCAGTCCCCAATCAACTTGAGAGAAGCAAAGCAGATCTGACAAGAAAGATAAGCAAAAATCACACCACGCTGGTGTGCAACGTTGGTAGAGAGTTATCTAAAAAGATTTAGGGCTGTAATTGCTACCACATGTGCTTCCATCAAATATTGAGTTTGTTGGTCCTATGCAATCACATTGAGCAATGGATTTTTACCAGTTGCCAGTTTACCAGTTTCTCCAGTCCACCCAGTTGTGGAAGTGAGGACCATCATTGCTGGGGTGAAACCCTTATGACGGACAGGCGCCCCATCCAGGAGAGAGCATCACAGTTTATTCTAATCCGTTTTACCACAGAACCTATGATGGGCTCTTGCTGCTGTGGTTCTGGTAGAGACTTAACCTTCTTATTCTTTTGAATGTCCAGTGCTATACCTACATGTAATGTATTGCAGTTGCACATTTTTGACAAACAAAAGTATGTTTTGTAAAACGTTTCTTTCATTGAATTATGCAAATACATACAGTAATTAGTAATTAAACACATCTAAAGTGCCTCTTTACAATCTAATATTAAGCATTGGCTCCATTAAACTCCATACTTTGTTGTGTTAAAAATAAAAATGTTTTCTGAGAAAAATCTTTAATGTGGTAAAAGCGTTACACGTGTTAATCCATGTTTGAAACTATGCTGATAAGATCATATTCTTCCTTGTTTTCGTCAAAAATATGGAACAAATAAACGATGGAATCCCCATAAGGATCAATATTTCCCTGGTAATTTGATTTCTCAAACAGCAGGATAATTAAAAATGCATTTCTGTGTTTCAAAGTGCATCGATTGTTGCAGTGAGCCATTGCTCACTTCAAAATTGCCATTAACCTTGGCTAATAAAGTGCCATAATTGAAAATGACCTAAATACTTACATCTACCAGGACAACTGCAAGTTCCTGCTGATAAATGAAAAGCTGCCACCTGAATTCATGCTGGGCAAAAATCAGCAGCCATCACTTCAGCTCTTAATTGAAAGAAAGAGATCAAAGTCCTCCACTGCAACAAGATCCGCATTTGCAACAAATAAGGGATTTCTAAGAAACAGAAAACATGGTATACACCTGTTGCAGTGTTTGCTAATTCCAACTCACCTCTTCAATCTCACTATTTATGAAGCACCAGACCTTTACTAATAATCACTAATTTCCTACCTGGTCCTGTTTGACCAGAGGTGACTCTTGGTAACAAACATCCCTGATGCAGCATCAGCTGGGTTTGCTATTTTCTCTCTCATATCTTACCAGCCATCTGTTTGCTCAAAGAGTACTTGGGACTCACCCTGTGACATCTAGACCCCTCTCTCTCTTATACCTGTGGTAGGAGATATGTTGCTGCTTTTCTAGGTGATGCCCCAGTCCTTCAAGTGCTAACAGCTCCAGTAGGCCCGGGTTCAGCAGGACAGCCCTAGTTTCTCGGCCCCATAATTCATCACTACTGGGGCCAGCAAATTAACTACTGTACCACCAGCCCACCTGTCTAGAATCCATGATGCCCTTCAGTTCCACAGGCATGTAAGCCAGCCCAATCTACAGTATTACTGAAAGAGCTGTCCTCTTCTGGAGCCTCGAAGGTACTCATTAACAGATAAGGCAATTGATACATTACAGAAACTGGGGTCTAGCATTCACTTTGTTATTTATTGCTTTTTGAATACAGATCAGTTCTGCTATAATGCAATAGTTGTGTTCCCAAAGAACCCCAGTGTCGTGGAAAACCCATGTTATAATAACCATTGATTCCATTGGGAATGAAGGGCTTAGGAGGAATTGAGATAACCCAGAAAGAAATGATCATGATTGAAGATTAAACAATTTTCAATATAACTATTAGTTCTTATGTGATCATTTATTAATTGCTCATGGCCATGAAAACATTGAAAAGAAGTGCATGAGACAGATACAGATACTGTACTTGTCAGCCTTTGTTGTTAGGCAACAGGAAAGGTAACAGTGGAGGAGGGGGAAGAGAGTGAGTGATAAAGATGAAAAGTGAAAACCTTTTTAATTCAATTTTTTTTTAAATGTGCAGAAATATTTCCAAAATGGGATTTTACATTGAGGTTCGATTCTGGGTGGAGTAGGAACAGTTCATTCCTACACGTACTGTATGACTGACTAGTTTGAAATTGTCCGAGGTTAAAACCAGTCACACTCGTGTTGTAAAGAGCAGTGGTAGCAATAAATTAATCGCGTTATATCCACTTTTGTGCTGTGTAGTTTCAGCTGGCCCTTCTAGTTCGCGGTACCATTTTTGATTGCGTACATGAGCTGGTACTTATGCGTGCCTCTTGCTGTCACAAACTCTTTCAGTCTCACACGGTTGTGCTAGGTTGATTGGTTCAAATCCATATGAGTGGTTTGCAGGCCGGCAGCCGGCACTGCTACAAAAGATAAGAGCTGAGGACCCAGAGCAGAAAGCAATCCAGAGATGGAACTCGTGGCCAGGCTAGGGTCAGAGAGGTAGAGTCCAGCAGCCGGTAGTTAGAAGGCTGAGACAGACTCGTGGACTCAGGAAACAGGTGGGGTTCAGGCCAGAGGGTTCTACAGGACGCAGTCCAGGAGACGGGAATCAGAGTCGATAACAAAACTGATTTCTAACATGGCTAGACCATCACTGATAAAGTCACTTCCAGTCCGTGATGGGCCAGTACGAGCCTGACGGGCTTCCAGTAGTGTCTTGTAGCTACAGTACTACTACGGCACTGCACTGATCAATGTCCTGGGGTCTCGTGAGCCCTCCCTGTGGACTCACAGACTGATATAAGACTATTCCAGCAGGACAACACATACCTTCATGCTGCTCGTATAACATTAGCTTTCCTGCAAGATAAGAATGTGACAGGCATGCTATGGATGCCCTCCATGCCAGACTTGAACCATGAGCTGGACGAACGTGTGGTACATTGGGCTCAAAGACCCGTGCACAGGCTCAAGTCCAGATATGTACAGTGCTTTCAACAGTGGCCACTCTTGCGACCAGCCTGAGATTTTCACTGTAGACCCCCGGCTGAACAACCCTGTTACACATCAAATATGTGAACAATATGTAAATAAAGAATTGACCTGTGCCGTGTCTGTTCCCTTAAATCAATACACCTGCTACAAAAATAATTATATAATTTACCTAATAATAACAACAAATGATAACTGTGAATTTGCGGTGGTTAAATGTGATTCATTTCTTTTGATGCACATGTAAATGGAATTTTAGTTATATATCACATGCAAGGTATACTGTGCATCATTTTTTTTTATTTTGTATGCCATTTTGTCATCACTACTGTCATTAAATAAATTGCTTGTCTTTCTTCTCCTTACAAGGAAGGAAAGCTTAAAAGCTTCTTGAATACTGAAAAATCTCAATCCCTGTTTTAATAGCAAAGCAAAGGTTCCAAGATGCTGCAGTTTACTGCCTGGAGACAGTACCTACTGTACATACTGTACCTCACAATTATCAACCTTTCCAGAGTTATCACAGTGTGTCGTTTTTGACCTTTTTTAAATAAAGGCTTTCAGAAAATACTAGATGACTGATTTTATATAGGTATTAGTCTGTTAGTGAAGGGTCTATAGTACAAAATCATTCTTTTAAACTTATAAAAAATGAAGACATTTGTAAATATTACTTTTATTGCCAGGGAAAGTCAGCTGATATGAAGCTTCTAGAATTTAGAGTAACATTAATAGTTACTGTATGTAATGTGTAGTATACTTTACCTATTACGGCTATTCAGATGAGAATACTACATAAAAGTCCTGTCTCATCTGACATTTAGGAATATTCTTCATTTTCCTAAACTGCAAGGTTTGTTCAATTCCTGAAGATTATACCAAAGACAGCAGATGCGTTAGAAACATAATTAACTTTTTCAAAGCAGCATGCCTGGTGACTTCCAAAGCACAATGTTGGACAAATGTACTTGTTTTAAAACTTGAATAATTCCGTACAATGTCCTGAAGGCCTAAATCTTCAATTGTTTACTGAATAAAATTAATTTCATACAAATTCATAAATTTCATTAACAAATCTCTCATTATTTTGCAGGATGAATCCATCAAAAGAAAGAAATTGTACAGGGCTGTAGCAGACCTTGCCTGTCAATTGCGGACAAAACGGATCACCAGTGAACAAGATGACCTTTCCAAATTTGACTGTCTCTGCAAACTACAGCTCAGGAGAAGAAAACATCTACAGACCTTTTTCTGTATTCAGTGTCCTGATATTGACGTTGCTGGCAATGCTTGTGATAGCGACCTTCGTGTGGAATGTGCTGGTACTCGTGACCATTCTCAGGGTAAGAACCTTCCACCGTGTGCCCCACAACCTTGTTGCTTCGATGGCCATCTCCGATGTCATGGTAGCCGGACTTGTGATGCCTCTCAGTTTGGTTCACGAGCTGAATGGTAGGCAGTGGAAACTTGGAAGGATCCTCTGCCATGTGTGGATTTCATTCGATGTCCTCTGCTGCACAGCAAGCATCTGGAATGTTACAGCTATTGCTTTGGACCGGTACTGGTCTATCACAAGACATTTAGAATACACTCTGAAGACAAGGAAGAGGATCTCCAACATCATGATCCTCCTGACCTGGGTCCTGTCGGCGGTGATTTCACTCTCTCCTCTCTTTGGCTGGGGAGAGACCTACTCAGAAGAGCGAAAGGAATGTCAAGTCAGCCAAGAGCCCTCTTACACCATCTTCTCGACCTTTGGAGCCTTCTATCTGCCCCTTTGTGTGGTCCTGTTCGTTTATTGGAAGATTTATAAAGCCGCCAAATTTCGCATTGGGTCCCGGAAAACAAATACCATTACGCCGATGGCTGAAGTTGTGGAGGTATGGATGATGGCTGTTAATCTGCTTTTCTTAAAGAATTTCTGTATTCCCTCAAACAAAATGAGAGAAAAGAACATAGTGTGCTTTCTGTGAAGTGCTTTTGCATCTATATATAGAAATAAAGGGTGGAAAATAGGTCTGTCAGTCACCTCCGAGAAAATAATCTCTAGAACTTTTCCCTGCAGATTTAATTGATACTTACAGGGTGCACTGATGGAACCAAAAGTATTTCAAAAAGTGGTCAAAAACTGCCACTTGCAAACAATGGTTACAGAAATATTCCTTCCCTAAGGTGACCAAAACACTGTAACCACCAAATAATCAAGTAGAAACTCAATTCAACCTCAAAATTCAGACTTTATCCCATCTGCTTACTGCAAATTCCATATATAAAGTATTCGGTTTGGAAACTTTGATTGAAGAGAACAGATTTTTGCTTTACTAAAATTTACAAGTTGTTTTTTTTATATGACTTCAACAAAGAAAAGACAGGGATACAGACCTGTAAGACTTTGGATTTCAATGAGTGGACGTAGACTAGCATGAGTCCAATATTGATATACAGTACCGTGTATTCCTACACATGAATTACACAGTATCAGAAAAGTTCATGTATGTAATTGTTTATTAATAACAATAACTTTTATTTATAAAGCACCTTTCTGAACCCAGAGACACTGTACGTCTTGAATAAAGAAAAAGACAAAAAAGGACAAAATAAAGTCCAAAAATAAAAAGAGCATAGAGGTTTTTACGGATGTAGGGCACTCAGAGACGTAAAAATTGGTACAAAGGAAAATTTTGAGTTTTCAATATTGCATACATAAAATACCAGTTGTATGCTTTGTTCTTCCTTATTTTTGGAAGAATATGCTTTTAGAACTCTAGGTCCATGTTGCATACATTGAGCATCAATGCTTTTCAAAAACTGGCAATTTCAGAATAAAATGAAAAATCACTTTTTAAATGAAAGCTTCTATTATAGAAACAATATGAAACCTGACAGTCATCTTTACAGTTGTATCACGTATTCAATACCACCTTGACAGGTTTTCCTTTCAATTTAAATTCCTGTGCAATGACATTTAAACGTGCTCTTTTCTCTTTCAACCAAAAATCATTGATAAAACGGTACCATACTAAATTTAAAAAATAAAGATCAATATAATGAATTTATTAAATTCTAAAAACAACCCTAATCATTGCAATTCAAATACAAATTAAGTTTCACATCTTGTTGGTACAGATTACCTCTGCTGTTTCTTCTGTTTAAAGTATTTCCATGTCCCTCAATATAATGCTCTTAATTTACACTAGATAAAATATGTCAGTCCAGGCAAGCATTATTGTTTGTATTTTGTTTGACAGAGATGAAAGCATAATTCAATGCATTTTTTCACACTCTAGAAGGTGTAATACAACAGTAAAGAAACAGCATTTAGTGAAAGTGTAGAGTAAAGAATCTTAGAAAAACTATTTAGAGTAACACATACAGTATAGTTATGAATAAACTTCACTAATATCTTATTTACCATTTTGCTTAGAAAGTGAACATTATGAGTTAAACACTGTGATGGGTCAACTGTTTTGAAATACAGTTAACAGCTTTTAAAAGTTGTCCCTTCATTGGAAAAATAACAAAACTGCTCAGTAGGACTGTAAACTCTATGGCTTCACACAACTGATAAAGCATTATAACTCTTTTTTTTTTTTTGTTTATTCCAGTGAAAAAAATAATTAATTGAAATAAAAAATCTGATTTCTGGTTCGATCTGCCATACTGTAAGTCACTGAACCAATAAATTAGGACAGAGAGGCAGGGCCTGGAGAGATTAATTCCTGTAAAATATCAATATATTTGCTAAATACCTAGAACAAGTGGTGAATTCAAATATCCTTGTTTGCAATAGGAAAATCATTACAACACAGTCAATAAACTACTACAGAACATGTAATAAAATGTAAAAAAAAACATTTTCAAAGACTATGAAAAATGGACAGTAAATAAAATATTATGTTAAAATTCTGTCAAAATTTAATTCTAGCTGTACTAGGATGTGTGATCAAAGAATTAAGCTAATAAACAGAAGCAATCTTGTCCAATGTTATCATATTACAGTGTTCCTCACACACGTGAGAATGGAAAAGATAGAAAGCTTTTGGATTTCTACCTATCTCAGAAGATAAATTCTCCCATCTGTAAAGCTCGGGGTATGAAGTGATAGTGCTGCCAGTTAAACCTGAAATTATGGAGTGTGGGAAACCTGGAGATGCTTGAACCTCTCTTGGAAGACTGATATTATGGTTGCATAAATATTTTAATATGACATCACATTTGAGTGTTTTAAATTTGATACGACTGGACAAGAAGTCTTACCTGATTTCAGACTGAGTTCATATAGAAGAAATATGGTGTCACAACTTCCAAAGTTACGTCCATCCAATTCCAGTCCACGAATTTGGGAAAAGTTCAGGGTATTCCAGAATTAGTCATGTTATTTAATTCAAACAATGTAAACCAGTCTTCAACAACCTTTTAATATTAATTGGGTTACAGGAACTGATCTAACCTTTTTCAAAATTCGAACTCAATACAAGAGACTGGAAAAATAAAAAGTGGGGACATATACAGATATAATGGGAAATATGTCAACCCCTGATCACTGAATAACAAATACTTTTTAAGTTTGAAAGGTGTTGCCTTGCTTACAGCGCTTAACCCCATGTTTCTACTACAGGAATACTTGACTAAAATCAGTTTTGACACTGACAAATCTCCTGTTGTGGAAGGAAATAAAATCCACTCTGTTTGTGTCTTCTCATTTTCTTTTCTCATTTCGCAGCCTTTTGGTGAGAGGAATCAAATCTCACAAATCGCCTTTGCTCAGCGTGTTTATTTAATGTATCCATAGGTAAAAGAGGCTTCCCATCAACCACAGATGGTGTTCACAGTTCGCCACGCAACAGTTACTTTCCAGACCGAAGGCGATACTTGGAGAGAACAGAAGGAAAAGAAAGCTGCCCTGATGGTTGGGATTCTTATTGGCGTCTTTGTTCTTTGCTGGATTCCTTTCTTCATCACAGAGCTCATTAACCCTCTGTGCTCTTGTGACATCCCTCCCATCTGGAAGAGCATTTTCCTGTGGCTCGGCTACTCCAACTCCTTTTTTAATCCGCTTATATACACAGCTTTCAACAAAAACTACAACAATGCCTTTAGAAATCTCTTCTCTCGACAGCGCTAAGAGCTCCAGACTTTCTGCGTTTCTAGTGTAAGGATCGTAATAACTAGCACTGTTATTGTGAAATGTAATGATCTGCGTTTCCTTGGAATGTTATGGCCAAATGATTTACTGTATTGTCTCCCTCTGTCAGTGTAAAGTGTATCTGTGGCCCGTTAGGGTCATTAGGTTACTGTTTGTACTGAAGCACAAAGAAAACACAACACTCAGGTAGTAATAGGTAGTCAAATATTTAAAAAATGGATATCAAAATAATAAACTGAATAAAAATACAAAGAAATATAATTGTTCAGTACGAAATGTGACACGGTCAAAATTAACATCTTTAAAAAAATTAAAAATAACTGCATGTATGACCTTAAATGAGCATTAAGCAATCTTAGAAGCACTGATGCATAGAGTTTATAAGCTTCTAGGCAGACCAATGTGGGATGTTTTACCTCTCAGCCAGATGGCGAAGGCTAGCTGTTCATAGTTGTCTCTTCTTGTTGGTATTTTAAAAATTGTTCACAGCAAGACATCCACATTGTCACGCTACTATAATCCTAGCGCTGTTCTGCTGGAATATGTACACTCCCATACTGCCTTTCAGGAATGGAAAGCTTCAGAACTTATTTGATGTATTTTCTGAGCATTAACATGACTCTCTTTCCATACCGAGTGTTGTCTTGTGTTGAAGGAGATTCCTCTTCACCGCATCACACTTCCTAGTTGATTTTAATGATGCCAGAGTCAGAATAGAGCTCATCACAATCTCCACAAATATCCAATATCTCCCCCCCCCAAAAAAATATTTTTTATTCTTGAGGTCTTGTCAAAAATAAAACAGCACTCCTCAGTGAATGAGGTTATTCAGCATTCCTTCTGCAACCACCTCAGGCTCACAGGAGTGACTGATTTAATGTCTTAGCTATGAGCAGTACTGCTTAAGGGCCTCAGAATGTGCAGATCTCTTTTCTGCTGACTCAAGGGTTATTTCCCATGCTGTAATCACTTTGAAAACAATCGTGCAAGTGGAGCAGACGTATGCAACTCCGGCCCTCTGATTTCGAGGACCTGTCCCTCACAGTCCGAAGTGAGAGGTCTACTAAATGTTGAAGAGAGACATCTCATTTTCTCCAAGACAGATTTTTCTGAATTGAAATTTGTACACATCCTAAAATCACTGTACATTTTGGAGATTTAAACTCCACACACTGATTACCTGGTAATTTGATTAAATCACATGACTTGAGGTCAGGATTTTGTTAGCCTTCGGAACACTACAACTCAAATAATCAAGAATCTTCACTAAAGCCTATTTACAATGTACTGTAAATAGCATTATATCTGCACCCAATGAGCTATCGATGTGCTTTATAAAACTGGGTTGTTGTGTTTTTATTGTGCGTCAGTATAGAAATATCACAATGGGATTGTATTACTGGGACAGGATTATGGTACTTCTCTTGGGATTCTGTGTACCTGGCTGGAACAGATGTGGTGTTTGAAGTTACTCCTTAATCAGAACCACAACTCATAATAATAGGGGACCGCAAACACTTTCATCCTTAATTGCCACAGCTGATAACTAAACAACACAGCAACACAAATTTGCAGAAGAAACCGAGTTGATATTGCTGAGTTGCTCATTTGCAGAATTAAAGAAACAAAACTTTGCTTTGTTTTTAATTTAAAAACCACTGCTAAAATGAGCCATTTAGAAACATTAACTAGTCACAGGCCTTGAATAATTGGAACATAGCCTGCATCCAAAAGTATTATTATAATTATCTGCTGCTCTGTTGTTACAACATGTTTCTTATCAGTTCAGTGGCAGCTGTGAACATCTGGACCATCTCCGTCTGGAACTGGATTCAGGAAGAGTACAGAACTTCAAAAAGGAGCATTATTTTCTGTACTTCGGGCATAGTGCATTTGCTGCAATAATTGTAATTGATTCAGGTCATTCTAATGACAGTTTGCTAATGAAAACAGAAAAGAAGACAATTTTCTTCTTGACCAAAACTTGAAAGCAATATCACCCTTGATATATTTCTTAATTTTCAGTTCTTTATTTTTAAACAAGATTGGATTTCCTATTGAAGTTTAATTTCTTAGAAAAATCAACTACTGTTTTTACATATACAGTATTTGTTGTCTTTAGAAACAACAAATTATCAGCATAAAGTCCTTTGTGCAAATTAATTTGATCTTTATAAGATGAAAAGTGTATAATTGGACTAATGTGAATATTAATGTATGACAGATAACTTTAACTAGGAAGCCAATTTCTTTATTTGCCACAATGACCGCCAGTGTGCAATCCTACCTTGGTTTTGAGAAACTGTTTCCTCAGCTTTTATCAATTATTCGGAAAGATTTCAAGCCCAGTTTGTTAAAATATATTTAGAATTGGTTTTGCACACTTGCAGAACAGATTCTTCAAAGAAATTTGGAACAACAGTTCTTTTGTGTGTCCTGTTTCACTCAATGACTTATCTCTGCAACCCTTGTTTAATCTTGACTGTCTTGGTCCCACCAGAGGAAGCTCTGTTTTAATTATTTTCTCGTCTGTCCAGGTTAGGAGCTAGCTTCCTAACACCTAAGAAGTACACAAAAATCTCATCTCATTTAAATGTGCCCTTGTATTCACCTAAGGAAAATGTAAGACTCAAATCCACTAAGGACTTGGATATATATAAGTTATACAGAGCAGACATCAATACAGAACACTAATGGAATCCGACACATTGAATGTGTTATGAGGCAAAATATGACTAACTCATAATATTAGGAAGTATACAATTAAGAATCTGACGAATGCCGATAGCTGGCTGAGAACTAGTAGTGCTCACCTAATGTTCTGTTGGTGAGGCGAGATGATCTACAGTATATCAAGATGTTGTCTGGGAAGTAAAACAAAGGACAATCAAGGAGCTTTTGAACTACTTGATTTTGTTCCTCGATATTCATCCTCAGCAATAATAATAATAGTTAAAATGTATTCTTAGGTGGGAGAAAAAATAAATAAGAACAGTTTGAATATTTCAAATGAAACCATTGGTATTTGTCAAAAACCTTGGCATAGAAATAGCCAGACTGTGATTTATAAAATAACACATAAAAATAAATCATTAAAACCTA